TCCACGAGAACTGCCGCGGTTGACAGAGCCCCCACGATGTGAGTAATAGGTGGGAGGCTGGACGGCCAAGAAAGCTGTGGATTGACCGGATTGGACAAGGTCAGTGCGAGGATTCTGCGCTTCATATGAAAGCAAACGGGCACGCAGATCACCAAAATCAGGAAGATGAGGAAAATTTAAGAGAGCGGTGACAAGCATTTTGTAGTCGGGACCTAAGCCACGAAGAATGCCAGTGACAAGGTCCTTATTGGAAACCGGTTCATTAATCGCAGCCAAGGAATCAACAATGGATTTGGCATGACGGAGGTACTCATCCACGGTTTGGGTGCCTTTCTGCAAGTCCATGAGTTGAAATCTAAGGATGGATTCACTGGCCACTGAGGTTTGAGAGAAGTGTCGTTGTAGGCAATCCCAAATGTTTTTGAATGAGTCACAGCCAATGGTGAGAGATAATACTGACTCAGAGAGAGTGTTGGTTAGATAGCTGACAATGAGTTGGTCTTGTTGGAACCAGGTTTATGCGGGATTTGGTTGTGGTGCTGTTTGGTCAGGGGAGGATGCTGGTAGAGGAAGCAAAGGAGAGGGTTGAGAGGAGGAGCCATCAACATATTTCCATAAGCCATGCAAATAAGAAAAGGTTTAATTTGACGGAGCCATAGAAGGTAATTTGTTTCTGTGAGTTTGATGAAGTATGAAGAGTTTGGACCAGGAAGAGAGGTTGAAGAAGATTGAGAGGCCATGAGAGGGTTCGGGTAGGAGGAATAGGGAAAGAGAGAAAGGGATCGGTTTTAGGGTTTAGGGTAAAGGGATCGGTTTTAGGCTGATACCATGTAGAATATTTGAATCTTGTATTTCATATGTGGGAAAGGTTACAATATTTATATTTGTACAATGGAGATATAAATGGTAATAGCCTTAAATAATAGTAAATACATAATATTTGCACAGCAGGTCAATGGTTAGGAGTGAGAAGAATCAGATCCTGATTCTTCTCCCTTGATGAGTGCATTTGCGTTGACAATATAGAAAGATGGAAACTACAGAACTGTCCAATTTATTAACATAACAAGTTTTGCTGCAAGACTGCAGAACTATCCAATTTTTCTTACCAGAGGACCAATTTGGATTCCATCCACATCTGCAACAAACACAGCATGAGTAAGAAAACCATGTTAGGCTTGAAACTTTCCAGCTATTATTAACTCACAACTCCACACACATATACACACAAGCAGTAGTGGTGAGATAATATAAAGTTTACTTTTAGTCCACGACGAAGCTAATTGATCGTTTCTATAGGAAATTGGTTTTCCTGGACTTGCAGGCTCATTTTTGCCATATCTGCTGGTATAATAGTTGATGCCAATAAAATCGAAGGATCGCTTGACCATCATCATCTCTTTCTCGGTGAAGGTGGGTAACCTGTTCTTGACCAACTGTCTCATACTCCTTGGATAAGCTCCATACACTAATGGTTCCACAAACCTAAATAAGAAACACCATTATTGGTCTAATATGTAACATGCACAAAACAAGGTATTCTGATATAATATGGAAATTACAATACCATCCAAGTTCAAAATCCAAACTTATTTTTGCTGCAGCTTTGTCTTCTGCAGAATCTGAATAAGGTTCAACATATTGTTAAGAAATCAGTCACTGCAGAATCTGAATAAGGTTCAACATATTGTCCCACAAGACTAATTCCAATTTGTCCACCTTGTTTTCTCTACAATATATATATATTAGCCAAGACAAAAATATTCTCATAAATTTGAGACATGCAGAGGACAAAACTCCATTAACCAAAATCAATCATGGACTGAGAGTGTGCCTCTCTCACCTGAAACTTGTCTCTGTAGAGCTTAACAGCAGCGGCATGCGCAAGGAGAATGTTATGGGCAACAATGTAAGGCTCAGTGGCTGAATTACCACCAACATTACATGGATATGCTGTTTGAACAGAACACCTTGCTGGTGGATCAACCCTAAGATCATACCCAAAATTTGCAGTAATTAATGGCTCATTGATTGTAATCCAATTTTTTTACTCTATCTCCAAAAAAATTAAAGCAAAGTTCACTATAATCCTTGAAATCATTCCTGTAAATTTGTGATATATGGAAAATATGAGTAATATATATTTTTCGCAAACTAGGGTTTAGGGTGTGATGCATTAGAAACATAGGGTGGGAATGTCATTAAAAAAAAAAGGAAGGAAAAAAGAGAAGTGGTGGTTCAACTGGTTTCAACCCATCAGGCAATTTGGGTTGGTGGAGCACCGACTCGTTATCCTTCCACTGCCGCGAGCGGGAGGTTTTCGCTGCTCTGTGAAACCAGCCTCACGCTGTGCCCTCCGCTCTAAGAGACACGCAGCCCAAGCCTTCGCATGGACCACATGACACAACTCACAACTTGGAATGGGCGAGCCAGCAGATTGCAACTGCCAACCCTGCCAGATGCGTCGAACCATTGTTCTACCACTTCAATGCCCTCGCTTGAGTCACAAGCTAGCGCAACATAGCTCGGCGAAATAGGTGCCATGTAGCTGGGTTTATGAACTGTTGTTTCTATTTTGCTTTGGCCGATGTGGGATAAAGTGGTGCAATAGGAACAAGGTCCAATTGGCTTATATAAACACTCATTTTGTGACTGCTAGAATTGATATTGATCATAAATAATAATAATAATAATAACAGCATAGCTTCTTACCATTCTTGATTAGTTCATCAATCAGGCTGTTGTAGTGATCAATACCTTGTTGGTTTACTCCACCACTCAAGGTTCCCTCTGAAACACATCCAATGACAAATTTGCATATGACTTTGTGAAAAAGTACAGAGCTATAGTTTCTAGCTACACAGAGAATAATTTAGATTTCAAATTATAGTATTTCAAGATAAGCAACATACAAACACTACTACAAAATAGCTAAACGACGACACACAAACACGAAGACGGTTAGCACAAAAGCATTTTGACAAGAAAAACAACAATGAGATAAGATGCTTACTAGGAAGAATCCTGGTCCAAGAGATGGAAAATCTGTAAGACCCAACTCCAAGGTTCTTCAAAGCCTTCACATCTTCCTACAATTGCAGAATTGTTTATTGGCCAAATATATGTCAAAATTAAAAATTCACAACTATGCAACGAATAGCAAATGAAATTTGATGGGAGAAATTTTAATTATCACAGGCTCCTCTTGCAATGCTTGTATCGCTTGTATGAATCGAGGGCCGTAAACATGTTGTAGTGATCTGCAATCCTTTCTGAATGTAAAGGAAAATATCACAGAAAAAAAGAGAATGAACATGATTCTCTGCCAGAGAAAAGAAATGCTGCATTATATTATGAGATATGATTATGAACCTGGGAATTTCTCAACATGGTAGTCCCAAACACTTGGTCCTCTTCCTGCTTCTTTTGCTGATCCTTCAATCTGCACCCAACATAGTTATAAATACACCCATATATGTGTATATATATATATATGGAGTTAAATAACATAGCAGAATTTATTATGCACCTGTGTAGCAGCAGTAGAGACTCCAAACACAAAATCACTAGGGAAGTCAGACCACTTGACTTCCAATTCTTGAGGGTTGGATGCATTTACAGGACCTGGAATATGATTAATCAACATCATCCACTTAAGTATAGTCTTTTTTTTCCTTCTTTGATTCAAATGTAGTCCCGAAATATTAACTAAAAAAAACAATTAATTAATTACAAATCTTGTGCTAAACAAGCAAACAAAGCAATGGCACACATCCCTTGTAATATCCTTAACCATGGCGGTGAGAAATCCATGATCTGCAAACGAAACCTCGAATCTAATTTTTTAATCAGTATTACCAGATTAAACTTAAGTAAATGAAGCTTAATCCTGAACCAACTCCAAGATTTTTGCCTTGGAACATTCTCTTTCTTAGGTGTATTAAAAAGGTCTAACCAAAACAGTCTGGACATGGATATATAGTGTACATGTGTGTTGCAGTCAAAGAGAGTTATTTACGTGACTAAAATCAACTCAAAGACAAATACGAACAATAAATGTGGAAGAATTTGTTAGGTATAATTCATCACAAATTCAATAATAGAATTGTTTTCATAAAAATCGATTTAGTTTGAAGTGAGTTATTGTTGTCATGAGTTTAACGAGACGATGAGAATAGCATGTTTCGATCAATTTAAACCCACATAGACGATAGTTTTGCAGTAGAATCGTTGTCTAAATTGTTCACATACGACGGTTAAAAAAAATCTCCTCTGATGTCTTGCAAGAGACAATGCTTACTTATACGATGGTGTTGCATTGCACAAGACGATGGTGGATCACAATTTGTTATAGTGGGGGGAGATTAGGCAGGCTTTAACTGCCTAGCTTTGAAGGACTAGGTCTGCCTACGTGGCTTTGCAGGACTAGGCTTTTTTTGCTAACGTTGACAAAAATTAGAAGGTATAATCCATAGGCTTTCTAGAGAAATTTAATCATTTCTTTGTTGATACAAATTTAAAAAATTCTATAATTCGAGTGTGTATGTTGGGTGTTGAGGATATTTTGTGACGAATTAATTTTTTTTTTCTTTCTCAAGAGTAGATTTCCCTTATTTATTTGAATTAATATATAAACTATCGAACAAAAATAAATAGATAAATATAACAGGTAGCTAATATGCGAGTGCCTTAATCTAACTACTTGTTCTTGTGTTTATTAAAGATGGGAATTATAAGTTGAGCCACAACTCAATTTTTGTTCAAACCACAGGCTAACATTTATATAAGCTCACTCCTTGGTTCTAATTCTAACAATACCAAAAAAACGAAGACAGCCATTGAGAGCCTAGCCTCATCCCTCACGAGTCAAGCATTGCTCGCACCCTAATGGGAAGGCCGTACAGCCTAATGAACCCAGCTGCATCAGCTTGATCATATACATCCCCACTCTCAAATGACGAGATGTCTTGCCTGTACAGGCTGTACGGACTCTTCCTGCTGGTCACAGTAATCGAACCCTTGTACAACTTGAGAGTCACTGATCCTGTTGTTGTTTTTGAGATTTCCTCCATGAATGAATCCATAGATTCGCGAAGCGGGTCGAACCACCTGCCTGCATACACCAGCTCCGCATATTTCAGGGCTAATGAGTCTTTAACCTGCATTGTTTCTCTGTCCAGTGTTAGAGACTCCAGCTCACGTGCAGCAGCGAAGAGGATGGTGCCTCCGGGAGTTTCATACACTCCACGGCTCTTCATACCAACGAGTCGGTTTTCAACCATGTCCACACGGCCAATTCCGTGTCTCCCACCAATCTGGTTTAGATGATCAAGTAGAGATGCCGGTGACAGATTCTCCCCATTGACTGAGACCGGAATTCCGGAAATGATCCCAATATCTACATACCTATAGGAAATGAGAGCATGGGAAAGATACGCAAGAAAATGCACTCAGCACACAAAATAAGAACTAAAACACATAGGTTCAAAGTGGAACTTACTCAGGTTCATTTGGTGCATCTTCTGGATCGACTGTTAACATGAACATATCCTTCTTAGGCTCATTTTCCGGGTCTTCCAAAATATCACCCTTTCATCAATTCCATAAATACATACACAAATGAGTGAGAGAATTTTAGAACTCAATCAGCAAGCTAAAGACGAACCAAAAAGATTTGATATGAAACGATAGTAATTATCCGGACAAAATAAAAAGTTAATAAAAGAGAGTTGTAAAGATTTTACCTCATGACTAAGGTGCCATAAATTGCCATCTCTGCTGTATATGGATTTCTTTGTCACTGGGACAGGCACATTATGCTTCTTAGCATATTCAATAGCATCTTCTCTACCTGTAATATCCCACTCCCTCCAAGGAGCCACAACATTTAGTTTGGGATTGAGAGCGAAAAATGTCAGCTCAAAGCGAACCTAAGCAGACAAGGTAGGTTTTATCAGAAGATTTAGATGAGTTGGTATGACCAAAGAAAAAAAAGAAATATATGAGTTGTTGTAATATTAAATGGTGAATCACAAGGCATGCCTGATCATTTCCTTTCCCTGTGCATCCATGAGCTACGGCATCAGCTCCAACTTCTTTGGCAACATCTACCATGGCCTGTTTTCAGGAACATCATTGTATGAAGTAATCGTTATGATTTTTTTTTTCAATGAGAAAAGTAACAGACATATCATGACATTGACATGACAAAATACGTGTTAAAAGTTCTAAAACTGAGCAACTAAGGAAGCTATACTCAGCTCTACCAGAACCAAACCAGACAGAACAGACCTAGGAAGAGAATATGCATTTTTCAAGAAATCCAAAAGGTAGTTTCTTATTCTTTACATTTGTCTTGGCTGTGCACATATCAATCCATAAAGGTAATGGATTTATAACTAAAACAACATTCCAAGCATCAAACTCAGATATCACCTTAGCAATAACAGGGCGGGCCATTGACGTCCCCAACAAGTATTTCCTCTCATATATTGCACCAGCTCTCAAGCAAGGGAATATATAGTCTTTTACAAACTCCTCCTTTAGATCCTTTACTACTAACTGAGAAGCCCCACTGGCCTTGGCCTTCTTTTCAAGACCTTCCAATTCTTTTAAACCCTAATAAATTTAAAACAAGTAGCAAGCACGCAAGTCAGAACCAATTGTCACCGTCTTAAAATACATTGCAGAAATGAGAAAATTTTGACTTTGAAGTAGATGTTGCTACTCCTAACTTACTTGACCAACATCGGCCGTGAAGCAAACAACATCACAACCGTAGTTCTCCCTGCAAGTAAAAATAATCATACAAAACCGTAACGAGAAAGTAAATAATCAGAAGTATAAGCTAGTAAGGTAACTGTGCCCTTAGAAAACACACGAAACGACATATGCAATATGCATCAGTAGGCATTAACATTGAGCCTAAGGAAATGGTGCATGGAATACATAAAACAGGCTCTATGCAGCACACAGAAGAGAACTATCCAATAAAGGAATTTCACTAATCTTTAATCAGACAGTATGATAATACAGGGGGAATACCTTAGCCACGGAACAATGACCGATGTGTCTAAGCCACCACTATAGGCCAGAACAACCTTATTCAATTTGCCACGTAAACCTCTTTCCTTTGTAGATCCAGATACTTCTGTCTCACTATAACTGGGCAGCACTGCTCTAATAACTGCATTGATATGAAGATAATATTACACTAGCATCTAAGACCTCAAATATTAATATATTACAGAATCAGTGGATGATTGAACTTAGAATATGAAATATCATATAATGGCATCTCATTTAAACTCCTTTATCTCTCTAACAGCAATGCTCACTCCATGGAATGTGAACATGTGATCCAACAATTCTGATTTTCTGTGACTAAACATATTCCTAGGTGTCCAATGACAGTCAATTTGCATAAAGAATCTGTAGGGATGATATGACTTAATTAAAAGGGATTTCGAAACCTCATCACAAAATAAATTCTACAGGACACAGTTCTATAAGGTTATTGCATGCTTAAAATAAACAATCATAGCAAACATACCCGTAGCCATGATTTGACACTAAAATAAAAAGAAAACTTCAAGCTTGGAAGGGCCTTTTCTACCTTATTCTCTAATTCTCTATATTGAGGGCTTAAGTGAGTTCAGCAGCTCAGAAAGAAATGTCAGGGGAGGCAAGGACCTGATCTTTTGTTTGCTCTTCCCATGGGCTGAAATGCTGGCATTAAACTAGAATGCCACCTAACATACCCATGCATCTTTACAGAAGAATCCTACATATCATCCCCTGATTTGGAAGTTCTACTGTCTAGATGTGTACATTCACGGATATGCACAACTTGCATACAAAATACTAATTTGCTAAACTTTTCACAATAGTCCATTTTTTCACTAATGTCATCTCACTATATCAGATCACCACAATGAACTCATTAAGTACACTTTTAATAACTGAGGTGCCACAAAACATATATTATATACAAGTGTGGGTGTCAGTATAAACAACACAAGAAAAGCCAGACAAATACAGCATGCATAGGTTTAGATCGAATTCCATACCAAAAACGTTGTTTAAACATAAATAAAACAAAACAACAGCGGTAACATCCAAAATCAGAACCAAGGCCAACATGTGAAAGAACCACTGACTAGGCAACCGCACCTTGCTTGTCATGAGCTCTAGTTACACTACCATTGCCACTAGAAACCGCAAATGCATTCCCCTGTAGCTCACTCTGTCTTGCCCCCAACTGCAGACACAAGTTATTTGTAAAAATCAAAAATTGAAAAAAAGGGTAAACAACCCAGGAAGAAACCAAAATCAAGTAATCAACAACAATTATAAGGAGAGAGAAAATTGATATGTACAAGGCATTATGGATATAGGTATAGCCACCTCTTGAAATGAAGATAATTTCCCTGGACAACAAACTTTGCCATGATATGGAAATGACTCTGCTCATATAAACAAAAGATGTGAAACATGTTGATATCAGAATATATATACCATCACACGGCAATCCAACAATTTTTCCATTAAAAATTAAGCATTTAAGTGTCTGGGTACTGTTAATTTCTCCGCAAAATCCTTAATCATCACTCTGAAATGAATTCTGCTTTCTCAAAGAACAAATGGAACCTATTTTCTTCTAGAATTCTATGAAGTTGCTTTTGAGAATATGTACCATCTCCGATGAAAAGAAAGAATGTACCTCTTTTGGGACCGTGAAAAGCGAGGTTAGAGGATGAGAAAGCGGAAATGGACTTCAATTGGGCCATCGTGGCAGTGGCTGAGACCAGAGCAGAGTGTTTGCCTGTGAATGAATGTGAGTATGTATGCGTCTCTGAGTGTCAAGGGTTTTGAGTTTTTATGGAGGTTTTTGGTTTTGAAAATAGCCAAATTTGTTAAAACCTGAAAATTAACCAATACTTTTCCGACCAAAAAAAGAAAATTAACCAATACAATATTTTTGTTACTCTGACCAAAATGCCCATCCACCCAAGGGCGACCCCGCCGACAGGGCAGACTGCGTTTGGAATATAAAGAGGGAATCTGTCCCATATACATAACTTATTCAACTTGTGCCCGCATTTTCTTCGTCTATTTTTTTTTTCCTTTTCTTTTGGTGCGGATTTATAAATGGCAAAAATATGAGGGCATATTAAATATTTGTTGGCAAATTCTTACTTAGGATTTTGTTACATACAAGTGTATTTAGTCTTATTGTAGTTGAGATTTATTTTCTATTATAATTTAAATTTATTTCTCATTGTATTTAGTCCTTTTTTATATCATACAAGTGATAGTCTTAATGGGGAGAGAGATTTCTTATACACACGCACTACCAAAGGTATCACGGAGAACACACAAGTGTATTTAGTCTTATTTCTTATTGTATTTAGTCCTTTTTTATATAATACAAGCGATAGTCTTAATGGGGAGAGAGATTTCTTATACACGCGCACTACCAAAGGTATCACGGAGATTGATCCCGTTGGCTTAACATTTTCTTATTTTGTCCTTAAATGTTCAATATATACACTTCTTGTTAATAAAAACAAGAGGGCATATTTGACATTTTCTATGTTCAAGTTGACAAAAGAGAAATTTCTTGATGGACAACGAGTACATTGATACAAGAAGAAAGAGACAGTTTTTAAGTTAATCACAATTATTGCAAGGATAAGAGAGAGCAGCCAAGCAAAAACTTGCAAAGTTGGTGCGTTCCTATTGCACTATTAACTTCTATAGACAAAAGGTGGAAACACAAGTGACATGGGAAGGGAACAAGATGAGTTGAGAGGATTATGGTTGCTCCTCTCCCTGAAATGGGGGACTCTCATCAAACATGCGAGTCTCTCTCTTTTTTGTTGGAGGTGAATCAATTTCAGTAGACGTGGACCGCAACAATCCACTCTGCATCAAGTCTAACAAACGTGTCTGCAAATGCGTGTTCATCTCCATCACATGTTTTGCCATTCTTGTTGCCCACATCCGGTGCTCTAGGCTTGTTTCCAACTTCATTTGCATTGCTGCAGGACTGAATTCTTCCTGCCCAAATTCGTATGACAGATAATTAAGATGTCTCTTGATTAATTGGCGCTTAGGCATATAGCACAACATTACTAGCTAAGTCATATACCGTTTTTCTGTGTGTGTGTGTTGTTCGCGCATGTGTGTCTGTGTGTGCGCGTGTCCTAATGTTACGTGCATATATGTATGCAAGAGAAAGAGAGAGACCTCTGTGTCACATATTTGTTGGCCAGAATGAGTGGTGTGGTTTCCTTTGAGGAAGTGGCATGATGAAAGAAGAGGGATTTTCTCCTTGGATGAGTTGGGAGGCTGTGGATGCTTGTCAAGCGAAGAAACACCAAATGCATTAGAAACTCTCCGATGGTTTGACACAGAAAGCAATGAGGACTGTGGAATCACTGCCAGATTAGTTACAGCCCCTGGTAATAGAAGAGAGCAACAATCTTGATCATATAAAATAAAACTCAGTCTAGTATAATTTGTATTAGAAAGCAATTGCACATAATACGTTTTTGCAATTATAGGCACGCCTCTCAATCAATAATTACAAAAGCACTTATAGTTTTTTCTATTGTATGCCACTTTTGAGCAACCAATTGGAGCATAGACAAAATGCCTTCAACAAAATAAAAGTTAGCTACATACCAAGAGAAATAAAATTTAGCTCACTCAAATCTCTCCAAGAAAAGGGAACAGAATAAGGCTATAGGCTACGATTACCTTTTTTATGGTCGAATCTTCGGATGATTGCCCAATTGGTGATATCCCAGATGCAGATGGTGCAGTCCTCAGATGCAGATACCAGACCTGCTTGACTGAAGGTTAATGCAGTGACAGCTCCCCTGCAGGGATTTTGGGTCTTTCATCAGCAGACTATAGAATATTAAGAAGGACAAAAATCAATAACTCATATTTGAAGATTTGACAGAAAATGCACTCTGCTTGTGTGAAGAGCATGTGCATGTTTGTCTCCAATACAAACCCATAAAGCTCAGCCATGTAATAAAAAAGACATTCTCGAGATCTTATAACTCTTTCTGTTGAGAAAAAGGACAGTTTTGTCTCCAATGATCTAAAAAATCTTGAAACACCATACATTACTTGTGTCCTTTTATCACAGATTTTTGATCTTCAGCAGCAACCAAAGAATTTTCGACCTGTCCGATTTCGAGTTTGTTCACAAAAATTCTTCCATCTATACTTCCAGAAAAAAAGAGCTGCTCTGTTGGGTGAAGAACAACTGCACTTATCGCTAGCGGATAAGCTTGAGTTTGCATAAGTTTTCCCAATACTAAATCCCATACCTAACCACAGAATAATTTTCTTTCAGTAATAAGATATATCAGTCAAAAGATACAACTGTTAGGAGCATGAATAAATATGAGTTTGATAACCTTGCATGAGCCATCAAGTGAGCTTGATATTAAGACTGTATTTGAGCTGCCTGATGTAGTTAACAGGCCAGTTATAGAGGATTTATGCTCCATTGAATAATGTAATAACGAGGGAAAGCTTTCAGAATCTTCCATGTCCAGCAAACTTCCATCAAAATGATCAGAAATTAGCATCACTATGAATTCTTGTTATCTGAAATTTTTTCTAGCGTCTAAAAAGTGACAAGGCCAAAATCCCAGTTCAGTTATTACCCGACCATAGACCACACACATATCATCCCATCATCTGAAGCAGAAACGAGAAGAGAGCCGTCATCAGAAAACAGCATACAGTTCAAAGATTTATGATGTCCACGCCAAGTTTTGAGCAATTTTCCATTAGCAACCTACAGATCACCTCAATGCCATTAAGATCTTTATTGGAATGTTTCTGAACAGAGGAATTGATGACAGTAATTACAAACCTCCCAAAGGTAAACGTTTCCAGATAGAGCACCACCTGCAAGATATACACCATCCCTTGTGCAAGAAAGTGGCCCAATGGCCTCTAGTGGGTAGCTCCGAATAGGCTGCTGAGGCTGGGAAAATGTTGCATACAACAAACCAAATGATTTGCACAAGAACATAGTTTTCTTATTCATGAGTATTAATTCACGAAAAAAAAAAAGAGTTCAAATTCATGGTACTATTTCCTATCTCATTTTTCAGGATGTAAAATTGAATCAAAAGCATCAGAGTTCTGTGAACATAGAAGTGACTGAGTCAACCGAATACAATTCAAACCTACACTTCAATGACCATAGACAAATTGCAAAGGCTAACCATATTTCCCGGTGTAAAGGTGATATTTTGTAACTCAGATCGTATCAAGCTTGCAATTTTAAACATCAACTATCCATTTTGGATGAAGGAATTGAAAATTGCATAGAATTCTTAAATGATGGAATTTAGATCTCCATCATTTAAATTTCTGTCAATTAGGAAAAGTAGACAACAGAAATTTGCACATGGTCATAAGGCCAAAATTTACAAAAAAATGAGAGAGATCAATTACAAATTTCAAACCAACATAGGATGGGAATCAAATTACTGAACCAATTTATTTACAATTGTTCTAGTACAAAAATTGAAATCAAACCCCAACCAATTTGAGTCAAAGCAGTGAGAATTACCTTGTTCAAGGGCCACATAGATATGGCCCCTCCGCCAACAGAGCCATGTTTGTGAATCTGAGAAGCTACAAAGAACCGGTTTCTCAGGCACACAAGACCATGAGCAGCAGAAGCACAGGTTGGTATGTGAAGAAGACGATCCCCTGTGTCTATGCCCCATATAGTTATCCCTACTCCCATGCTCTTGTCGCTGCACACAACCACTGCCTCGCCACCATTTTTAGCCATCTCTCTCTTTCTCTGTTGCTCTGCTTTTCTCTGTGCTTGAAATTGCGAAGAGTGATATATATTATAAGCTGTAAAGGACTTCTGCTGTGTGAACGTGCATGGATTGAGTGACGCTTGGCACGTAAAACCGTGAAAGAGACAAAGGCAGTTGAAGAATTTCGCACCTTTTGATTGTCTTGCTCATTATAGCACCTGGGGAGTGAAGAGGAGGTTTCGTTTTATTCTATGTTATGCAGGTGGTCTACATGCATATAAATGATCTTATGGCCATGGTCAATGAGGAGAAAAACTTAGTTGCAAAAGTGGATGATACTTTTTTGTTATCTAGTTCAATAATATTATGTCATGTGGAAGTAACAACAATATTCACACAAACGAGGATGAAGACAAATTATTTTTAAATTTCTCGCCGATATTTTTTTTATTTTTTAAATAAAGACAAAATAAACTAACAACGGTATTCACACAAACAACTAAATCTCGTAACATGTTTACTACGTCATGAATAACAACCTTTTAAGATAAATTCGTTACTATGTTTGAAGAAGAGGGGACCCTTGAGCTATTTTTTCTTTTCGGTTACAACCTTGACATGATTTGAACCTAATAACTTAAATCTTGGAAAAAAAAAAAAACCTAATAACTTAATCACAAAATTCGTCTTATGAAAAATGTGCATAAATGTTACCTCATCAAATTAAGTCATAAACTAACATATATTGATAATTAAAAGGGAGATTCGCTATTATTCCAAATATAGGAGCCCAAATTATTAAAAAACCCTATATAAAATGGACTTTAGAAACACACCCAAAGCCCTTATTACAATATAACAAAAAGGCTTCTAACTTTTTTTAAATTACAAAACTACCATTGATTTCTTAAAACAAACTCAATCCCAAAACCTCCTAAAAAAGCCCAAAACACTCAATAGGACATCCAAGTAATTTAATAATCAAAATTAAATTCAATAGGGTCAACTGTCATTCTTTTGGGTTTTTTTTTGGTATGTTTATAGAAATTAAATGGTGTAGGGTTTATCTATAATATTAGTGCTAAGAATGGGTATATGACTAAATATCTCTAATTGGGACTTTGTGCTTCCCCAAAAGATAGAGCTTTAATGTAAAACGATGTAGATAGTGTGGTTATATGATGTAACAAACACAATTCTATTCAAAGATGTGGATTCTTTATAATTTAGCTACACCAAACCCTTACCAGGAGTCAACGGGGTCTAGCCCAATGAAAAATGACTTTGAATTGCATACTAGTGGTCTCGTGTTTGAATTTAAATGACATATTGGTAGTGTGTATAAGAAAGCACCCTTCTCCTTCCTAATTTTAACAAACATACAAAACCCTTTAGAAGGAAAAACTTTCATTATTTATCATTTATCTTTGTCAAACCCTTGCAAGAATGAAGAATGAAGAATGAGAAATGAGAAATAGAATTTAGATTGACCCCCCTGTCAATCATGTAGGTTGTTGAATTTGGATTGAGTCATTGTTTGGGTATATTGAATTAGAATTTAAATGAGAAATGAGACTTGAGGTCTTTTCAATATTGCGAAGAAAAATATTATTAAACCAAAAGCTAATTTATACATATTAGCATATTAAACCAAAAGCGAACTTGAGGTCGCTTCAATATTGAGAACTAGTGGTATGAGCTTCAAATTCTTTGACACCTTTAGAGTGTGTTTGTAATATCTCCGGCCTTATAGTTTAGACTATTGCTTTCACTTATATTCATTTGATGGTAATATTAATTAATTTGATTATTTTCTTCAAGGCCGCTGGTACGTGCGTAAATAACAGACCTATTTTCGCAAAACCCGCCACCTCATCTTCAGCACAGGATACAGCAATCTCTAGGCGCAATCACGAAGGAGAGAGCTCACTCAGAGTGAAACTGAAACACTAAAAGCTTCACCTCCACACTCGCTCGCCCCGATCCGAAAAAAAAACACCGTTATTTAAGATCCGAATACCAAAATGGGCGGTAAATTCACCATTCGTTGAATTCAAAAGTGCATTTAATTAGGGTTTGAAATGGCATCCGAATTTTGATAAACCGTTGTTTGGCAATGCACAGGTAAAGAATCAGCTTGCTCTTGTTCGAGTTTATGGTTAGCTCCCAATCCAAGCAAGAGATGGGGGGAGCTCTTCTTCCTTCTCTACACTCCTTTCTGGCTCAGTCTCTGCTTGGGAATTGTCGTGCCCTTGAAGCTCTACGAGGTTCGCTTTCGTTACCGTCTGATTGGTTACTGAGAAAAAAAAAAATGAAGAAAATGAATGAAAGGAGTAGTAGAAAAAGAAGGAAATGTTATTTTGATGAAATTGTTTAATTTTTCTGATTTTTGTATATGTATTGACCAAGTATCTACCATGAAATTTGATCTGCGTCTGTGGCAGAGCTTTACGGAATTGGAGTATTTGCTGATTGGATTGGTTTCAGCAGTCCCTGCATTCTTGTTACCAATGCTCTTCGTTGGGAAGGTAACTACTTCAACTTTACAAAGTTCAGTTTAGATTTCTTATTAGACCTCAAAACTTAACGAACGGTTGTCAACTAAGCATGTGAGTTCTTGCTAATATTTGGGTTTTGTACTGATGTGACTTTTGACACCCTTGTGCTTTAGATGTAATTCATTATTTCAGATAAACAAGTTCAATCTATTCCAAATTTTGTTTGAAAATGGTGTTCCCGAATAAAATTGTTGTCAACTTACTGTAATTTCTCATTTATAATGGGGTATTCAAAATAATATTCAAAACTTTCAATTTGAAAAAAAGAAAAGAAAAAAGAATAATGGTTAAATTAAAAATTCCACCAGCATTCAAATTGTGTTAATAACTCTTCTTTTTGCTAAGACTCACAACTTATTTTCTGTCATTGTTTACAAAACTTCATTTATCTCTTGAAACTAGTAGTACTTTGAATCTAATTTGTATCTAAAGATAAAAGGAATATAAGAGAGAGTAAATATACACTGATATAACCGTCATATGGTTTAGCAGTTGGAAAGTCCAATAGAATCGAATGTGTTACCCAATATTTGTTTATTTTCTAACCATTTTTTTGTTTGTTTAATTTTTTGTGAGCATGATTGCAGGCAGATAGCAGCTTGCCTTGGAAGGATCGTTATTGGGTCAAGGCAAGTGTTTTCCTGGGGCAAAATTCTTTATATATGTCATGATTAGGACAAGGTCATCAGACAATGGAACTTATACTTTGGTTTATTAGTTTCTTTGCTTATTAATCATTTGTTTTTGTCAATGACTATACCTTCATGCTGGACTTATCGTTCATTCTAAATGCTGTGTATTTCTCTTTTTGGTATTCTGTATTGCACTTAATGTGCTTATATAATATCACACATCTTATCAAGTTGCAAAACATGTGATAAAAAGGAATTTCTTTGGTTAAAAATGTAGTTTTAGTAGTCCTGTTCTTGTCATTTGAAGGTTCTTTTCTCTTCATTGCCTTACTGCGCCAGTCAATCCATTAGCATTTGTCATCTTTATTTACAACTTTATGCTTAGCCTGAACCATAATTTAATTTTTGTTACAGGCCAGCCTGTGGATAATAATTTTTAGCTATGTTGGGAATTACTTTTGGACCCACTATTTCTTCACAGTTTTGGGAGCTTCGTATACTTTCCCATCATGGAAAATGAACAATGTAAGCTAAAGCTAGAAAACTAGAAACACTCTGTAATAGACTACTTATCTTTTCTAACCACTTTTTTTTTAAAAAATTTCTGTGCAGGTACCACACACTACCTTCCTTCTTACACATGTTTGCTTCCTATTTTATCATGTCACATCAAACATAACGCTTCGCAGACTACGCCATTTTACTGCTGAATTGCCAGAACAAGTTCAATGGGTTACTGAGGCTGCATGGATTTTGGCTCTTTCTTACTTCATAGCATACCTGGAGACTGTAGCTATTTCTAATGTATGTTATAACACATTTGTGATATCTTTCATCTAACAACTCGTAAATTTTGACGAATTTCCAAAGTTAGCCTATCAATATTAGGTTCTAGATAAGGTAGAATGCTGAAGTTCATATATACGTTGCTTCATGTCCCTCTAGTCTTAGTCTTGCTTATCCCTTGGAATTCCATTTGACCCCTATGGCCTCGTATCAAGAATCCCAGTAAACTTGTGATGAGAATCAAGTCAGCTTTAATAAGAAAATTTATATAGTAGTAAAGTTTCTTGGTTACCGTAACCACAAAAATAATGTCTGGAGTAAGCCTGTGATCTGTATTTGTTTATCTTTTACTGGTTTAAAGAGACAGCTTTGTTTCAGAAATTCTCTGTTGATAGGTAAGACCTCTGCAATATAATAGACTTCATAAATGATTTATACAAGCCGTTCCTTTGAAATGCCTCCAGGTTAAGGATTTGTTAATATTTTACAATATAACTAGCCCACATCAATGTGAATAGATTCTGTTACAATGATGTTTTGTTTTGAAAATGTGCAGTTCCCATACTATCAGTTTGTCGACCGGGCATCTATGTACACAGTTGGGTCCTTGTTTTATGCCATCTACTTCATTGTTAGCTTTCCCATGTTTCTAAGGTAAGAAGTGGACAGTTTTTTTGGTGTAACTTAGTGATCAGAAACATATATGGGATCACGCAGAATTCTCATGTTATTTCTTTGTTCATGTTACAAATTTTACTAACATATCTTTCACTTGCATAATTTTTTTATCCTTTCCATGATGACCAATTCTAATAATTTCTTTTTTTTCTTTACTCAATGTTATACGAATTTAACTGCTGGTGATTCATCCATATACACAGGATTGATGAAAAGCCTGGCAATCCATGGGACTTGCCTAGAGTGGCTATCGATGCTTTGGGTGCTGCAATGCTGGTGACTATAATATTAGATCTGTGGCGCATCTTTCTGGGACCTATTGTTCCAATCCCAGAAACAAAACAGTGTCTTCGACCCGGACTACCATGGTTTCCGGGACATGATGATCAACGTTGACACCTACTTGCACAAACCGGGACCTGGGATTTAGTTCCCTGCCCGAGAAGATACCATGCTCCGGGATTTCTTGTAGTTCGTTGATGACATGGCAATGGTGTTTGTACCATATTGAATGATTGTTGTAATTTCCATCTTCAGGACATAGAAAGAATTTGGTAATGCATTCGGTTTACATTCCATCTTTCATGGTACATGTGTCGTTGTAGATTCATAACTGATCTGATGCTGCTTTCTGAAAGCTGAGTTAACCTAGTAGCGTACACAAGTAGAATTCTGCTTCTCCAATCCAATCCAAAAGCCAACAAAAAATGCATGGCGTTTTGCCATTGCTTAAAGAAAAAGAAATTGAGGATGAAGGTGTATAATTTTCAAACAGCTGACTCAAAAATTGACACTTTGGATATCCAACCACTGATTTTTTTATTTTTTTTATTTTAATGTAAAGAAAAATAATGGATATTTAAAACCTCTCTTGCATCAAAATTGTTTTGTTTTTTTTCTTTTTCACTCAAATCAAATAATATCAGTAAAAGAGAGGCAGTATGTATAAGCATATACTAATATTCTATACAAAATAAAAAATAGGTGGGAAAATGTTTTAAGCAGGCCCGTTCGCACGTGCGAGCCCCCTTTATCACTTCACTTCATTTGCCATTGTCTTGTTCCAAAAATGATAAGAAAGATATTTCTGAAGCCTACAAAAATCCTCTAAAACTCACTTCACTGGCCGCTCCTCTCTCTCCGTTTCCCGCTTCAAACAACGCTCGGCAAACCCCACAATCCTATCCGGGGGTTTCGTTTCCACCGTTTCGGCTCTCCGAAACCTCCAACTCGAAACTCATGCAATTAGGGGTTTTGGGGGGTTTATCTGTCCACCATTCTCTTTGCTCAGCTCCCTTTAGACCAAGCGTCTCAACTCAAATGGCCGCTTTCGGAGCTCTCTCTCCTTGTCCGTACAGCCTCCTGTGGCGGCCGAAACCTACAAACCGCTGCGTTTCGTGCTCTGTTGGCTCTTCTGCTGTTACAGGTAGTAAAGTTCAAAGAACATCATATTTTACGCATCTAAAATCAGAAAGTTTTCTTTTTGGTGCTCGGAAAGTTGAAGAAAATGAAAATGGGAAGTATAATGAAATTTTATTGGTTTGCTTTACTTAGGTACACGTGGGTCGAATGTTAAAAGATCGGGAAGAATGGAAGGGCCTCGGAAAAGCATGGAAGACTCTGTTCAACGAAAGATGGAACAATTTTATGAAGGCAGAGAGGGCCCACCAATCCGTGTTTTACCAATTGGTGGCCTGGGAGAAATTGGGATGAATTGCATGCTGGTTGGGAATTATGATCGCTATATTCTGATTGATGCTGGTGTCATGTTTCCAGAGTATGTGTTTTCTATTGTTTATACTCCTGACAGAATGCATCTTGGTGATAATTAGATGTAATTTTTCAAGTATGAGTTTCTTTTCTTAGAAGGTTTCTTCTGTCCACATTTTTACTGTTATAGGTTTAGTTTATTCTAGGAGAATTGACAAATTGCGTAATACCAGCATAAATGTACTCTATGCATTCGGAACTGCTAAAAATGAATTTCTTACATGAAAAATGGATCCTTAATTGTATTTGCTTCTCTGAATCTATGCTGAAAGTGATCCTTATTTGCCTTCTCTTTTCTTCCGCTTATGCATTGACCCTAGATATGTTATATGTATTGCAGCTTTGATGAGCTTGGAGTCCAAAAGATTATACCTGATACCACATTTATCAAAAAATGGAGCCACAAAATTGAAGCAATTGTTATTACACATGGGCATGAAGATCACATTGGTGCGTTGCCTTGGGTAAAGTTTCCTTCTGATTCTTTGGAAATGCCATTTTGACTGAATACCACACTTGTTACTTCTATTAAGTTCCTGTCATTGACACCTACCATTAAGATTTTGTAATAGGCTTGAAAGCCTGGTGTTCGCTTACATACTATGGTAAGTGGATTTGGAGTCCTGTGGGGCTTGCGTGAATTTTTGGTGGAATGCATATTGGTGCCTTGGGTGATGGTGGAAATGCTGTAATATAATGAGTTGTGCGAAATATCTTTTGACAACCATTAGTTGTCAACATGCACAGTTGGTCCCTGCCTATGGCATGCTAAGGTAGTCCTGAATTGTTGAGACCTACGTGAGTAGTTTGCAGAGAGAGTGAGAGCGAAGTGGGTGAAATGAGAATGTCAATCACCAAAGCAGCATGCACACATAAAAATATATACCAGCAGTTAATAAATCTACTGCATTTTCCATGTTTGTAGAAAGAAACATCATAAAAGGACTGATTCCATAAAGTACTTTTCTTTTACTTCTAGGTGCTTTTCTAGGTGAAGATGAACTTAGATTGTAAATGTTGTTCTAGTACAAAAGGGTTGTATAATATGGTAGTTGCATCAAAATCTCTTTTATGTTCTTAAAACAATGGCACTTGCACCAACTATTTTGAGAGACTTACCAACTAGTTTGAAATGCCTACCTGAAATCCTTGGAACTTAAATTCTCTCCTATTCATATTTTATTTTAATTAAACGTTCTCCTGGAAGTTTATTATTTTGGGTTTCATGTAATTTAGTTGATGCATCTTTTTTCTCTAAACAGGTGATCCCAGCTTTGGATCCCCGTACACCAATATTTGCATCATCCTTTACCATGGAGGTACTTGCATAACTTTAATTTGGCAGCCAAAAATTTCTTTCACGATATGTAAATTTCAACGTACTTGTTTGTTAATGTTGACCTTCCATAGAATGTTAGTTCTTTCTTTGCAGCCCTTAACCATGTGGTTTTGAGGTTTTTTGTGTGATGAAGATGCTTGTCCTCTTGAATTCCTGGGTCTTTACAATTTTGTTGCTACCATAATGTTCAAAAAGTTGATATTGTTCTTTTAACAGCTTATTAAAAAACGCCTGAAGGAACATGGGATTTTTGTTCCATCTAGACTTAAGACATTTAGAACAAAGAGGAAATTTATGGCTGGACCATTTGAGATTGAGCCTGTTCGGGTGACACATTCAATTCCTGACTGTTGTGGATTAGTCCTTCGCTGTTCTGATGGGACAATTCTTCATACTGGGGACTGGAAGGTAAAATTTTCTTACAGGTGTAGTATCTTCTCTTCTTTGATTAAGTTCTCAAGCTTAATAAAGAACTGTGTTAAACAGATTGACGAATCACCATTGGATGGTAGAGGTTTTGACCGTGAAGCTTTGGAAGAACTTTCAAAAGAAGGAGTAACCTTGGTATGCCTCTGAGTCATAGTAATCGTATATTTCTTAATTTCTTATATTTTGGGATCCACTTGGACTTGGTAGTGAGATTGGGATTTTCCTTGGGGACAAAATAAGGGTTAATTGTTGGGGCTGTTAAATCAAGAATACGAAGTCATATTGTTACTAACCTCGGGTGAGGCATATTTTATATGTTGTGAGTATAAAATATCTTCTCACCATGTGTATGTACACTGAAGAATTAAAAATGATATTCTAAACTGGGATGTAAGTGATCCACATTTTTGGTCAAAACTGTTTTTCATGGAGGAAAAGATGAAGGTATCATTTCATGCACATTATTTTTCAGATGATGAGTGACTCTACAAACGTACTATCACCTGGAAGGACTACGAGTGAAACTTCTGTGGCAGATGCGTTGTTGAGGCATATTTCAGCTGCTAAAGGGAGGGTTATTACTACTCAGTTTGCTTCAAACATACACCGACTTGGAAGTGTGAAAGCTGCTGCTGATTTTACCGGCAGAAAGTTGGTAGGTTCTTCCGACCTTATCCAACACAATCCAGTGTGTTTCTTTTCTTTAAAATACCCTCCACCTTAGTACTATGAAAACAAAATGTGTCTGAGTAAGTGTTATATTGTGATCTATTAGGTATTTGTTGGTATGTCCTTAAGGACATATCTTGATGCAGCTTGGAAGGATGGGAAGGCACCAATTGATCCATCATCCCTGGTAATAATGCATAAAGGTTCTGTTGTAGTGTTGTCTAGTTCTCTTTTACACGGGTAGACACAGATGCTGTTTTCTTTTTCTTCCCCATCTCCGTGTGTATGCATGTTTTTGCTTATCTTATGAGGTATTGTGTTGCTCCATGTCACGTGAGGGTACAATTAAGAATTAGGAGCTAGCTTCAGCTTCTATTGGTTGAGGAAAATTGTTTTCGGCCATAAGCTAAACAATGGACTGTGCCTAGACAATTTGACTCACGTCATTTTAACATTCAACCTTATTTCAACTAAATGTGCTAGTATGTGGAAGTCCTAGTTCTTGCCAGCAAACTTCTATTTTGGGCAATATCTTCTATTAATTTATTACGTTGTAAGCCATTGAGTGGGTGCCGGATGGAATTATGCTGGGATTGGAGTTATGTGTGGTTATCATTTAAATCTCTACATCAGTAATGGCATTTATTCGTATTTCTCCTCTCTTTAGTGAGAGATCTCATCATAAAGTTATGTTTTTTTTATACTTTGAATTAGGTGAAAGTGGAAGATATTGATTCCTATGCTCCAAAGGATTTGCTAATCGTCACAACTGGCTCTCAAGTAAGTTTATAGATGGCCTCCTATGGCCGCCTAGTTTCATAAAGTAAAACCTTTTGCTGGCGAATGATGTATGCTATTGTGTCAGGCAGAACCACGTGCTGCTCTAAATCTTGCATCATTTGGAAGTAGTCACTCTGTCAAACTGACCAAAGAGGATATAATTTTGTATTCAGCTAAGGTAATAAAACTCGATATAATAAGCATCCGTTTCTAATTGTGTTTTCATATAAGTTACATCCATGAGTTTTTAGCATAACCAAATTTGTTTGGACAAATACGAATTTATGTATCCCCATTTTCTTTTGTTAATTGACATATAGTTTCTGTAGACTTTTAAATTCCCTATGCTTGTGGTTAACAATTCTATTCATTCATTGAAAAAGAAAGAAAGTCCAAAGTTTAATTTCAACATCGATGCATAGAAAAAATATGAAATTCCCAAAATTGGAAGTTGCACACAGATCAGCTAAATCTTTTGGAAATCTTTCCAACTCTTTCTTCTGGTTTTCAGAATTCTGAGATCTACTTCGATAGATTTTGTTGCTGCTTGCTGTGATTTTTCTGTTTGGTTATTTTGACCTTGTTTACCTTATAGGTAATTCCTGGTAATGAATCTCGGGTTATGAAAATGTTAAACCGCATATCAGAGATTGGGTCCACCATAGTTATGGGTAAGAATGAGGGGCTGCACACATCTGGTCATGGGTATCGTGGAGAACTGGTAAGTCTTTTGCATCAGAAGATTTTAATTTTGAAAGGTCTTAATTTCTTGTATGATTAGATCATATTCTAATCTTCTCGAAACTGATGATAAACTTGATATTAATGTCACTATCGCATCTTCTTATCAAGGAAAAAAACAGTAGTGTATCATTTGTGCGGACTCTGTGCAGGTTCCCTTGCTTTTGGAAAAATGTAGACATGGTTGTCTTTCTATGTTTCACCTTGTTTCATATTTTCTATTTTCAAGGACTAAGTTGTAATGCCATAATGGTTATTTTCTAGCTAAAGAAGCAGCAGGTGAACTGCATTTAGCCATGTGTTGGGATCTGGTGATTGTTCAGTATTTAGTTTGCAATGATGTTATGCATGGGGAATGCCCCTTTTTTATGTCACTTTTCAACAGATTGACTCTTATAGAAGATGTAATTTGTATGTTATTCATCTGATTTATTTGTAACCTGATATGCCTTTTCATTTGCAATTTTCATTTGGTTTTGTCTTATATATTTTAACTGGGAAAGAATCTAATTTTCTCTTAAAGGAAGAAGTGCTTCAAATTGTGAAGCCGCAACATTTTCTGCCCATACATGGAGAGCTCTTGTTTCTCAAAGAGCATGAATTGCTTGGGAGATCAACTGGCATCCGGCACACCACTGTGAGTCAATCTGTTTATCTTGTTATACTGATGAGATATCACTGTTTATGTCTGATAAGTCTGATTCAACTATGTTACATGAAAGAGCAAATCGTTCGTACTCGACATAGCTATTACTTGGAACTTTATAATTTGATGTCTTTATCACAAAGTCATCTAGTATTTTCTTATTTCTTTCTTTGTCTTTAAAATGACCCATATACATTTCCAAATTAGCAACAATTAAATTACATTTGCATTATTAAGGGGGCGTTTTTGTTATTAATGTCGAATTTCCATACTGCAGCTTATAGTGTTTACAGATTTACAGATTTTTGGATTTGAAATTATATTGTTTCCTTGTACCAAACAACAGTGGATTTTATTTGTCTCCTTGGTGTCAGCCTTGTACAAGTACCATTTAAAAGTACATAGCATTAAGATGATATTTTGTGCAATGTTGAGAAGTTCTAATATTTTCGATACTTGTTACCTAAAAGTACGAAAGGAGTAAATTAAAGTAACCTGCTCCATATTAGACTTTATTCATACCATTTTCTAATTGTTCCCCAACTCAAGGAATTTATCCTGTCAAAATTGCCTTGGTGCATGATTTGGCCCAATGATATGTAGCATGCATGATAGTGGTTAAAATTTTATTCTGTGATCATAATCCGAAGGGAATTAGGTATTCAGATGATAAAACATGAATTTTTTTTATGCATCAGGTTATAAAGAACGGGGAAATGCTTGGGGTTTCTCATTTAAGAAACAGAAGGGTACTTTCTAATGGTTTCACCTTGCTTGGAAAAGAGAATTTGCAGGTTGGAGTTGTTCCTTAAGAAGTTTTCTCTGACTATTATGAGAAGTTAATCAAGCAATTTCTAATAAATCTACTCTTATATTACAGTTGAAGTTTAGCGATGGCGATAAAGCATTTGGTACATCAAGTGAACTTTGTGTTGATGAGAGACTAAGAGTTGCCTTAGATGGCATAATAGTGGTCAGGTAGATCTCATGGATTCTTCAATGACACATGCATCCTAATATGAGTTTCTATATGATAGCATCCTGATTTTTATTTTATTTTATGGTTTTTTTTTTTCCGGTTTTAAGCATGGAAATTTTACGCCCTCAAAATGTAAATGGTCTGACTGAAAATAGCATTAAGGGGAAGATAAAAATTACTACTCGATGCTTATGGCTTGACAAGGGGAAGCTTATTGATGCACTCCATAAAGCTGCCCATGCTGCACTGTCAAGCTGCCCCATAAATTGTCCTCTGCCTCACATGGAAAGAACAGTGTCTGAGGTATTGAGAAAATTGGTAAGAAAGTACAGTGGTAAGAGGCCAGACGTAATTGCCATTGCCATGGAGAACCCTGCAGCAGTTCTTGCTGATGAGGTCAGTGTAAGACTATCTGGAAAATCTCATGTTGGTTCTGAGATGTCCACATTGAGGAAAGTAATTGATCGACATCCATATAAGAGTCAGTCAAATAGGACACAAGCAGATGAAGGCAAGGACAACGCACGTTTGCAGAGCACTTCACAACAAGATACGGAAGGTCCTTTACTCTCTCTCTCTCTCTCTCTCTCTCTCTGTGCACGGGCACCTCTGCGAATGTCATACACCTTATAGAAATATGTTCTGTATTTTCCCCTTTCCAGTAAATAGTGGTCACTCAGTGCTGTTGTTAGGGTGCATAATATTTCGTCACTGTCACCTCAATGTCAGTCTGATATATCTAAAATATATTCTATCCTGGACTTGTGATTTCTAGAATTGACATCAGGTATGTTTTATTATTTTATCTCATCAGAGTACGTACTTGAAGATGATGGCATTGAAGTCGAAGTACTCCTACCTGAGGAAGATTCTGCTACCTCAAATTCCAAGTCAGAAAAGCTTTCTTCTGATTCAGAGAAGTCAGATGATTTTTGGAATGCAATCGTTAGGTTATCAACTGTTGACAAATCAGTAGAAGATAAAAATGGTTTGGCTGTGCAACAGGAACATCTAAAGAAAGATGGTCCTGACAGCAGTGAAATACCAAATCCCTCAAAGCCAGTGAAACGCAATAAATGGAAGCCCGAGGAGGTTGAGAAGCTTATTAAAATGCGCGGGAAACTGCGAAGCAGATTTCAAGTTGTGAAGGGGAGAATGGCCCTCTGGGAAGAGATATCTAGAAACTTGTTGGCTGATGGGATCAATCGAAGCCCAGGACAATGCAAATCTCTGTGGGCATCCCTGGTTCAAAAATATGAGGTTTGTCCACCTCCACCCTAATGCTGGTGTTGCTTCATCCCTTTGTGCTTGTTATTTTGTTTTGTCATTGCGCTAAGTGTCTTTGTGAAACAGGAAAGCAAGAGTGGAAAAAGAAGCCAAAAGAGTTGGCCATATTTTGAGGAAATGGATGGAGCTTTGTCTGATTCTGAGGAAATGGCAACAAAATGATTGGTAGAGGAGAAATGGCAACAAAAGCCCCATGAACTTCTGAAAGATCCCGAAAACAATATTTAATCTGATTAAGCTGGAGGAGCAGCCAAATGATAATTCACCAAGACTCAAGGTTTGGATGGTTGCCAGATCAAAGGAATGGGAAAAAAAAAAATAGAAATTAGGTTATTTTTTCTGTGTACCCACATAACCTAGATGTATATCAGTCAAATCAGATAGATAAGCAAAGGGGGAAGGGCGGAATTTTTGTAGCGGGGGAAATCTTTGGTTCTATAATTTTTATCCTACATCTTGTTTTCCAATATTCTTATTATTGTTTTATGAATAGTGTAAGTAGGAAAAAGTTATAATGCTTCTTTTTGGCTGTCATGAATTCTACTTATTTTTTACACTATCATCCTGATCAAATACAGGAGCATAACTGTATTGATTACATTAAAATTGTGAAAATAAATTGCGCCACCTTCACAAGTCAACAAAGAAAGCAAAATAATTCTAGCACTCTTTCTAAGTCACATGAAGGATTGACGCTGGTATTCTTTATAAATAGACAAGGTGGATCAATGTGGACAACAATTGAATTTTCATATAATAACGCGTGGAGCAACAACGTTCTAATAACTTTGTATTTTATAACTAAGTTCTGAAAAATGCTAAAAAAATGAAACCTCCATCCCACATAAAAAAAACCCCATAATATTGTGTAAATTTCACCCTAAGTTTTGTCATTGATGTAATTGGATTGGATTCGGAGCAACTATGACGGTAGAAATGGGTTATAGAAAAGTTATTTTTAAGAGTGATTCTATTAAGATAGTTTGAGCTCTTCAACATGTTCGGGTCACTCAGGAAGGTTTTATCCATGTCTGTCATACTACTAATGGAATGACTTCTTTACAGTTTGTATCATTTGTACTCTTTTTTCCGTTGATCTAATAAATTTCTATTACTTTTTATAAATACAAAAATTGTGAAAAAAATTTACTGAATCAACGGAGAAAATGAGGGTTCAAATTTGCATATCTTTTATCATTGGAAAGGAAAATATCACTGAACAAAATACAATCTAGACGTTTATAGGAGTGCATTCGAATCCGCATGTTACGTAATGTATTAATACACAATAATTTCCCATTATATAAGCGTGTGTACGACTCAGTACTAGTGTTGTATGTGAGACCTTACCCAATCAATAAGTGAGTGGCTAAAAAGTCAAAAGGAGGAAGATGTTGACCATCAAATAAGGTATTAGTCTCTTCTAGAACGTTGAACTTGTTCCATCTTCTTCCATGTAATCTGCTTTCTCCGTCTCTTCCCTTCTATTTTTCTTACGACATAAAAAATACATCACACATGACCTGTGAGCCACGTTATTCCCCCGTCTCTTCTCGTGTTTTCCTCCCTTTTTTGAATTCTTCATTTCATGCAGATGTCCAGAAAACTCACAGCACCTTCTACCCAGGATCATAGAACATGGGAAAGTCGGTTCCAAAACTTCAACACGGCCTCCAACTTCCAAGTCTATATATAAGGGCCCCATGCTTGTTATTGTTCCATTGCAATCAAACTAAGAGTTGGTTTTCTGTTAGGTTAAAGTATATATATAACTTGCTAATCCATTTTGCATTGTGTTTTGCGATTGTAAATGAAGAGCAACAGAGGATTTGCACGTGTGCTCAGCTACTTTGATGAAGATGGAGATGGAAAGATTTCGCCTTCGGAGC